AGTTCTAGAGGTGGTACCTCCCTATATTATATATATATATATATATATATATATATATATATATATATATATATAATTATATATATATATATATATATATAACACTAATCTCAGGTCGAAGAAGACTCGATTCTACGAACCTTGGGACTAGGTACGCAGTGCTCTGCATACCTTGACGAAATGAGAGGAAAAGCTTAAAAATACTTGCTTGAAGGCTGGCTGCCTTGGACCAAAACGTCTAGCATTAGCTGGGCGCTAAGGTATTGTACCAGAGTTGTACGGTTCGTATTTTCAAGTCTCCTTCGAACTGAGATTAGTGTTTTTCAATATTTCGCATGTTCTGGGAATTCTTATCATATATATACGTCGTGCCGAATAGGTAAAACTTCCGATTTTAACTTATATAGCGAAGCTCTTCTTGCTGAATAAGGCAAAAAAAAATTTTGGTATGCAAAAATTCCGCAAAATATCCTTCAGAACCTAGCAAAAAAATATATTTACTTCATTGTGTTTATTAAATTATTGCAAACTTATCTAAACATATTTGGTTGGATTAGGCTAAATTAAATTGTGATTGTTATAATAAGGTTAGGTAAGTTTTCGAAGGTTCGTTTCGTATAAAATTATTAATTTTTACATTATCATAAATGAAAAAATGTATGTTCAAAAGTATAAGAGAAAATATTAGAAAAGACTTAATTTTTTTTTTTTTTATCTAAGGTTATAAATGACCATAATTTTTAAAGGAGTGGACCGGTAAGCCAGCGGAAGGCCTCGGTCAGATGACCAAAAGCTCCAAAGGCGGGTCATCATCTGACTAAGACCCGCGTCAGGAAACATTTGTCCTGTTTCCTGACGAACCTTACCTAACCTAACCTAATTTTTAATGAGTTCTTGCTAAGTGACCAGTTTTACCCATTCAGCACGACATATATATATATATATATATATATATTAATATATATATATATATATATATATATATATATATATATAAACAAATATGAGTATGAATTATAATATTCATCACATTAAATTTGTGTACAGGTGTACATCTTTGGCACTTAGTAACATGATGTACTACTAAAGTATAAGATTCCATGATGACATAGTGCTTAAGCGTGACATTAAGCAGGACTCAGTAAAATTTGTACTTGAGCAAGAAACTGGTTATTAAAGGCTCGCCGTGCTATGACACCGAGTGTCATGGGCAGCCACTGATACCTTCTGCCTTGCCTCAGAGAATTTCCCTTCCTATCTGTTGCTGTCTTGCAACTTTGCATAGCTCCTGACGACGCAAGAGACTGCGAAAGATCTAGAGCTAAAGACTCCCATCCCCATGTGACTTGCTCTGCATATTCTGAGAAGTATATTTATCTTCATATGTGTACACTGACAACACTACATGTACACTTGTAGAGGTGTACATCTCATTATTTATGGGGTACACTTAGAGTTCCGTTAATTCTCGTAGTCCCATACTTGGTGTTACAGTATTCTTGACGCTAAGATAAGATAAGATTTCGTTCGGATTTTTAACCCCGGAGGGTTAGCCACCCAGGATAACCCAAGAAAGTCAGTGCGTCATCGAGGACTGTCTAACTTATTTCCATTGGGGTCCTTAATCTTGTCCCCCAGGATGCGACCCACACCAGTCGACTAACACCCAGGTACCTATTTGCTGCTAGGTGAACAGGACAACAGGTGTAAGGAACCGTGTCGAAATGTTTCCACCCGCCGGGATCGAACCCGGACCCTCCGTGTGTGAAGCGGGAGCTTTAGCCACCAGGCCACCGGGCCACCGACGCTGGTGAACAGATTACACGCAGCTGTAAAAAACCCAATTAACCAAGCAGTCAAGCCAATATACCCAGGTGTTCTACTTATTTTATACTACTTAGAATATCCTGCCAGCTTATATCAATGCAAATACATGCATATGTGGGTGTTTACATGTGTGTAAACATATGCTTATGTGGATGTATGCAGACGTGCAAACATGCTCGTCCATTTATCATGTACCTATTTACAGCATTTTTAATGTATTTGTAAATTTTTCCTTATTGGCGATTACTGCCATCTAGAAATTACGCCAGGTGAGAGTGACTACTGTGACTGTCAGAGAGGAGGATTGCTTGTTCGCTCGTTAGGCACCACCAGCTCTCATGATCGCTCGTTAGGTGCCACCAGCTCTCATGATCGCTCGTTAGGTGCCACCAGCTCTCATGATCGCTCGTTAGGTACCGTCAGTCTTCCCATGAACACTTGTGACATAAGGTGTGAAAGTTTTCCTACTCTCCCAGGTGGGACTGCGAGCCTCCACCATATATATCGCTCGTTCTCTTATGTAACTGAGCCTAACTTAGGTTACGTTAGGTTAATGCTATTCATTTTTAGTTAACTTGCATTTAGCCGTCGGTCAAAAAATGGGGATGTGGGTGACAGCGAGGCCTGGTCTGTGACCAGGCCTCGTGCTCCAGGCCTTTCGTGTTGAAATGAACACATCTTCAGGAGCTTGCAATGTTGCAGAAACAAGTAGGAAGTCCAGGTAGATTCGTTCAAGGGAAAGACTCCAGTTAACTTCAGTCGTTCCCTTGAACGAATCTACCTAATTTTTTTTACACAATGTGCAACACTGCAAGCTCTTGAGGCTGTGTTGATTGCAACATGAAGGGCCTAGAGCCTTCATTCAACTCCCCCTCTGGTTTTTGCATCATAGTACTGTATTTTTGAGAGTACGTCCACCGTCTTCAAAATTTTATTAGAAATGTCCTTTACCCTTCAAATAAATATTTGTTTAGCTTTATTTCCAACTAGTGAAAGCTCTTGTTAATGTTGAGTGAGAATTTGTTAATTGTGATTTAGGTAGATACTTTATCTTTCTCCAGTTTAACATTGTGTTGTCGAGTACAACTTGAATTCGAGATGGCAAAAGTTTTCACCTGCAAACGGAATTGGTTTAGGTTTCTGTGAGGCATAAGGAAGGTGACTGGTGTATTATTGTTATTATAATCAAGGGGGAAGCGCTAAACCCGGAGGATTATACAGCGCCTGGGGGGGGGGATGTGGAAGGCATTCAGGCTTAATTCGGGGAACTGGAGCACAGATCCAATTCCCTAAATCAAGAGCCCCTCACCAACATCAAGGAACCTTCCTTGAGGGGGGTGACTGGTGTAGATGAGGAATGGAAGAGGTTCTAGTACACTGCCCTGAAGGCTCGTCTGCAAAAGCTCCCGCTTACTTTATCATTTTTCTTTCGTCCCTTCTGTGATTCACTTCGTCTTTCATACACTAATCTTCCAACGCGTCTACAGGTAAATATCTAACTACGATAATTTCTTCCATACCTTTTACCTTTCATTCCCGTATGGGTTAAATGTTTTCTCATGTTCTTTATTGCTTTTTATTAATTCATAATCATCTGCAAATATAGCTACACAGGCGTCTCTCCTTCACACATACCAGGAACATTACACTGTGGAAACCTACAGTTTACATGTCTATTCTGATACCTCTTCCTGGACAAGAGCTTCCTGTCATCTTGTCTTGTGGCATTCTTGATCCACTGTAATACTTTTCCTATTATTCTTGTTTGCTCCTTCAGGTTTTTGGCCAAGTCTCATATGATAAGTGTTATATGATTCCTTGCAGTCCAGGAAAATGCATCCACCTTACTCTTTTTTACTTTATTTTTCATTACCCTGCCATAGATATCTACCATGTTTGCGAGAAGAGTCAGTATATCTCTCCATACTCTGGTTACTGTTCATGAAGTGATGTTTGTAGTTTAACACTTTCTGCCTGCCGATCACCTTTCCCTGCTTTCCAGTGCACTGACGGTTGCCTTGTTTCTATTAATTTGTTGAAGATTTTAAACAGTGGTTCAGATCTTCTGCTCCCTCCCTAGAAAATGATGACATATTCCTAGGTTATATTGCCTTTTAATGTACTGTATCACGCTCACTGTGTAACTTTCCCTTGCTTTCCTTGATGTGTCTGGTGTCCGGTACTGCTGATATTTTTCTCTGTCTCTGATATTGTCTATTTCAAAGATTACGCCTTTTAAAATAGTTAATTCAGTTCCACGCAAAACTTCCTGCTCATTTCCTGTGAGCGAGTCTTCCTTCAACAGTATTGTTACTTGGTCTTTTACCATCATAGTTTTTTTTAAGTGACTGTGTAGCAGTTTCATTTCAGATTCCGTTTTCGTTGCTGTATCATTCTTAAATTGTTGCTTAGTTTTCTTCTCCCCAGAGGCACATTAGTTTCCGAATTTCTGTTCACCTTCATGCTGTCCTTTGCTTTCTATTGTATTTCCATGCACTTGAACTTCTGATTGATGCATCTTGGGATGAACTTGCTTTTTCGTTTTAATCACTGTTTCTTGTTCATGATTTGGATATAAACTCCTTCTACATCTTCGGTACAGTCCAGCTGGGCACTCTATTTCATTCGTTGTCTTTCCTTCTAGTTCTCTTTCCATTATACGTACTATATTCAGAAATTCTCTCATTTTTGTGCTGGACTCCTGTCTATCATGTTTTCCCTCCTTCCCGATGTTCATTGCTCATCACCAGGATTACTTTCACATGGTATAAGATATTCAGTTGTATGTGGCCTATCACACACAGGCCTCCCTCCCAGAGTCTGTTTCATCTGTATGAGATCCATCTCAGGTGAATACCAGGTCAGTTCTTGCTTGTTCATCCCATCCTCTTTCCTTCTTCTTGTGTCTTTGTCACGTTGTTAAAAGGTTTTCCATCCACTAGGATTATAAATGCGTTGTGTGTCCCATATAGCTGTGTGACTATTAAAAATAATTATTGAACATACTCTTCACCCCCTGCAATTTTTTTTTTATAGATAAGGTAGTAATTTTTTTGTGAGTGATTTATCATCTACATTCAAGCTGTTGTTAGTTTTAAAAATTGTTCATAAGCATTTAAATAAGTTATATCAATATGTTCTAACATCTGAGTTTCTTGTCTTCCCTGTCACAGCGTCGGGACTTCTACAGGTGTGTCTTTCCGTGGTGTGCGACTCCCTGATGCGCTCCCGAAAGTGCCACCAGCAGCGGCGGCGTTAGCATCTCAGGGAAGTATTTAAAATTGTCCTGAGAACAGAATTGGGAAAAGAGGGTTAGTTTAAATGAGTTGCAGGACGCAACACGTGTCCTTTCCATTATTCTTTACGAAAGTGCGAGTGAAAACAATAAATAACTGAGCGACGCCTGTGCTGGATGGGTCATGCAGAATTGGTATCTTGCTAGGAATCATGAAGCCTGTACCAAACCTATACGATTAGGTTGCTTATATGTTAATTTTAAATAGCAATGTAGAAACCTAGTCTAAATATTAAAAAAAATAACAAAAATCTCCTTGTATGATAGGGTTACACGTCTACACGTCTTTGTACACATGCCAGAACTCACAATCGATGTCTGACAACTGTAGTGAAGACCCACTCAAAATATTCATGCTTATATATATATATATATATTATAAGTATATTATATATTATATATAATATAATATATAAATATATATAAATAATATTCAAAAGATTATGTGTAATTATAGAATAATAAAAGTATATGAAAGAACGGATATTAAATATTTTCGTAACCATCAGTAAAAACCTCATTCTGCTGTCTTTAATTAAGAGCCTTGTGAATATGGAGGAAGATTCCTAATCTTTGATATATTGTACCCAATTGTACTCATATTGTGTTTCTGTAAATGTATCTCTTTAATAATATCTTCTTCCAACATAATTAATTATAAGGTGTGGTAGGAGAAGAAAAATATTCAAACAGCTCCGGGGAGAACCTAGAGTTGTTCCCTGAGGTACGTTTATTTTCTCCTAAGAGGATTAGGGTCCCCAGTAAAGTTCTGGAGGTGGTCACCCGCCCAATATAATATATATATATATATATATAAATATTATATAAAAAAGATATATATAATATATAAAAATATATCTATAATATATATGTATAAACCTTGTAATAAATACCGCCAAGTTGATTTAGAAGACACTTAAGCAAACACGTCAACATATTTATTAGAAAAACGTTTCGGTCCAGGACCTGACACATTCTAAAATACAGAGAGTAGAAAAGAACATTATAAAAATAGGCGGAGATTGAGATTGACCACGTGACGCTGAGAATGTGTCATAAGAACATAAGTATGAGTACAACTGAAGAAGGCCTACTGCCCATGCGAGGCAGGTCCTTATCAAAACAACCTCTACCTATGGAAATAATGGTATAAATATACCGACACAATGGCAAAATAAACACAAATTGCAGTAAAATGTGATCCTTTATTGACTACGTTTTCCCCCCACACAGTGGGCCTTTTCAAGTCACAACAGAACTACCTGGGGTGAGTGAACGCTCGTATTTATAAGACCGGCTGATGTCAGTTGAAGAATGCTGCATCTGATGAAGTACCGAGTTGGTTTTAGAGTCTAAAACTTGGTAGCTTGGAAAGGAGAGCTGGACAAGTTGGTGACATAACCTTTCTATACAGTTTTCTTATGTGGGATAGCGATGAAGAAGTTTCTTGGCAATTGTTTCAGGCTATGTTAATAGAAAGCCACATATTCTGGTTGAAGAGTTTTCGGATATAGAAATACGTGATGATTCCAGATTCTTCGGTATTGAGTGTTGTCTTCTGTGCGATAAGCCATTGATTTTCTGTAGTTTATATCAAGTGTTGTGTGAATTACGGTGTTTAACAGCGCATTCCTTTGTGTCGCAGACCTGCTTCGTATGGGTGTTCTGAAATACGTGTTTGGGAGGTCCCTTGATGTTCGCCCACGTATAACTTGTTGCAGTCATAACAAGGTATTATGTAATACCCTGCAGAGGATGGAGGCTGTCTCATACACTGGTGATGACCCTTGAGTCGTGGTTTGTGGAGGTAGATACGTTGGAATGATGTTTTTGGCCAAACATCATTCCAGTAATCCATGAGGCTGTCATCTGCTGAGGACGCGGTTACCCTCCAAGAAGATATAAACAAAGTTTTCCAGTGGGCAACGGTAAAAAATATGATGTTCAATGAGGACAAATTTCCAACTACTCCGTTATGGAAAACTGGAGGAGATAATAACTAGAACAGAGTATACTACTGACTCCGACCATACAATAGAGCGGAAAAATAATGTAAGGGACCTGGGATAGAAAATTTCCCTGAGGATCTCACTTTCAAGATCACAACAGTGCCACGATCGCACGTCAAAGAAAAGATAGGATGGATAATGAGAACTTTCAAAACGAGAGATGCCAAGCCCATGATGATCCTTTTCAAATCACTTGTTCTCTCTAGGCTGGAATACTGCTGTACATTAACATCTCCATTCAAAGCAGTGAAATCGCAGATCTAGAGAGTGTACAGAGACCCTTTACTGCACGTATAATTCTGTCAAGCACCTTAACTACTGGGAACGCTTGGAAGCACTTGACTTTCTCCGTTGGAACCGGGAAAGGGAGAGATATATCATAATCTACACTTGGAAAATTTTGGGAAAGGGAATGGTCCCAAATCTTACACAGAAATCACTCCCTACGAAAGTAAAAGACTGGGCAGGCGATGCAAAATCCTCCAATAAAAAGTAGGGCGCCATTGGTACACAAGAGAAAACACCATAAGTGTCCGGGGCCCAAAACTGTTCAACAGCCTCCCATCAAGCATTAGGGGAATTGCCAATAAACCCCTGGCTGCCTTCAAGAGAGAGCTGGACAGATACCTAAAGTCAGTGCCGGATCAGCCGGGCTGTGGCTCGTACGTTGGACTGCGTGCGGCCAGCAGTAGCAGCCTAGTTGATCAGGCCCTGATCCATCGGGAGGCCTGGTCATGGACCGGGCCGCGGGGGCGTTGATCCCCGGAATAACCTCCAGGTAATCCAGGTGAATTTATCGAAAAGTGGTTATAAGTGTTGTGGTACTTTCTGATGAAATAGTTAAAACGAGAAAAATTGGGGGTTACGAGTGAAAATTGTGAGGTGTTGGTTGGAGTGTGAGGGTTCGGGAGGGTGGGGAGGAGGAGAGAGAGAAGGTTACTTCGTGGGGAGTGACCTGAGATGAAATAGTTAAAACGAGGAAAAATGTCTAGCCTTGTGTTGTAAAGAAATTGTGGATTGTTGTGGGTATTAACGAAAAAATGTGAAATTATTTGGATTATCCTGGGTTAATAGTGAAAATGTTTTCCCTATGTTGTATATGAAATGTGTAATACTGAGATGGGGGGAGTCGACAAGATTGAGCCTGTATGTGTGAGGTCATCATGTGACGTCACTGACATAGGGGGAAGTCGACAAGATTCAGCCTGTGTGTGTGGGGGTCATCGCGTGACGTCACTGACATAGGGGGAAGTCGACAAGATTCAGCTTGTATGTGCGAGGTCATCACGTGACGTCACTGACATAGGGGGAAGTCGACAAGATTCAGCTTGTATGTGTGAGGTCATCACGTGACGTCACTGACATAGGGGGAAGTCGACAAGATTCAGCCTGTGTGTGTGTGGGGTCATCACGTGACGTCACTGACATAGGGGGAAGTCGACAAGATTCAGCCTGTGTGTGTGTGGGGTCATCACGGGGACGTCACTGACATAGGGGGAAGCCCGACAAGATTCACCCTGTGTGTGTGTGGGGTATCACGTGACGTCACTGACATAGGGGGAAGTCGACAAGATTCAGCTTGTATGTGTGAGGTCATCACGTGACGTCACTGACCGCCGAGTAAACACACTTTTTACTTCATTTAACTTAATGAGAGGAATACTGACGTCACACTTGTTTAGACCTGTAGTAAGAGAGAGCACCATGACCCATAGGAGGAGTTCATTTGAATGCTTACCCTGAGAGGGGGGAATCCAAAAACATGATCCGAGGACATGGAGTCTTTGATTTCGAGAAAAACTTGATCCGAGGAACTGGAGTCTTTGTATTATCGAGAAAACTTGATTCGAGGAGAGCAAAAGAATTTCAAAAAAAATTGGGATGGGGGTGAAAGTGGGAGGGGGAAACTCAAAAATTTGATCCGAGGAGATGGAGTCTTGGTATTATCGAGAAAAAAAACTTGATCCAAGGAGATCATAAGAATTTCGAAACCCCATAGGGGGGAATCCAAAAACTTGATCCGAGGAATTGGAGTCTTTGTATTATCGAGAAAACTTGATTCGAGGAGAGCAAAAGAAATTCAAAAAAAAAAAATCGAAAAAAATCCGAAAAAAAATTCGGGGGCGCGGGGGGGCGATCCGGACGACGCTGCAGAAGGTGCAGCAGAAGGCGCAGGCGGGGCGCGAGGGGCGCGGGCGGGGCGCGAGGGCGCGGCGAGGGTGGTGGGTCGGCGCGACAGTCGGGGGCGTGGGGGGGCGCGGGTGGGGCGCGAGGGGGCGCGGTGGGGTCAAGGGCGGGGTCGTGGGCGGGGGTCGTGGGGGGGTCGTGGGCGGGGGTGTGGGCGGGGGGTCGTGGGCGGGGTCGTGGGGTCGTGGGCGGGGTTAAGGTCATTAGCACATAGGTGTGAAAAAGGTCATTAGCACATAGGGGTGAAAAAAGTCATTAGCACATAGGTGTGAAAAAGGGGAACCGCTCTGTAGAAGGGATGCCTGAGCCGCCGGGATGCCTGAGCCCCTTCATCACTACTTTATATATTAATATATAATATATATATATATATATATAATATATGTCGTGACTAATAGGTAAAACTTGCGATTTTGGCTTAAATAGCAATGCTCTTCTTGTCCAATAAGACAACCGAAAATTTGTGTATTCAATAATTTCGCAAAAATCATTTTGAACCTAACGAATTTTTTTTATTTCATTGTGTTTGTTTATTATTAAATTATTGTAAAATTATCTAAAACATTTTTAGTTGGATTAGGCTAAATTGCGCTTGTTATAATAAGGTTAGGTAATAATTTTTTACCAAAATTTAATAATTTTGATACAAAATCTAATGATTTTACATTAACATAAATGAAAAAAAATATATCTCCAAACGCACAAGAGAAAATTTTAAAAAGAACTTAATTTTAAATGAGTTCTTGCTAACTGACCAGTTTTACCTGTTCAGCACGACATACATACATACATACACACACACACACACACACACACACACACACACATACGTACATGTGTGCTGATAAAATTTACTGAAACATATGTTTAGACCTCTGCTCGAGTACACAGGTGTTGTATACACCTGTGTACTCGAGCGCACAAGAGTGCACTCTGTGCACTCTATAACCTTGTTCGCCCCATTACCTTGCTCACTCCACTACCTTGTACACCTCACGATTCTGTACACCATACTATGTACACCTCACAATCCTGTACACAGTACTACCTTGTACACCTCACGATCCT